AGAAGAAGGCTGAAGCAGTAGAAGCGCCAAACCTGGTCGCATATTTAGCACCAGTGTTTCATTTTGTTATATATTTTTTTCATCATCTTAGAAATCATCATCTGTTCCTCTGCTGATGTCTAGGGTTCGACTAGGTGGCGCTGACTGAATTTATTTTCTTTGGAAGAAAAATTAAATGGTCCCTTTTTATGTAAGCGTGAAGGAGAAAGACTGGGTTGAAAAAAGAACCGTTGTGATACGATATTATCTCTGACTGGGATTTTACGTTTTGTCAAGTTAACTAACACAAAGAAAGGGGAACTTTGTTGAACTTCCTTTGTAGTGTACCCCTAAGTCAGCTGATGGTTTATGTTAACATCTCTGAAGTTTGCAACCTTCAGTTTTATTCCCTTCAGTGTTAAGCTTCTGTAATTCATTCTGTATTCATAAAACATAAGAAACGTGTAATGTAAAATTCCCCTTCCCACCTGCCCCTCCCCTTATTCTCGCTATTATTTTTTTTGCTATGCTCTAGTTGTCTACTTTAAAGGTGCTAATTATGTACTGTGGTCACGCAAAAACAAAAGAAAGGCAATCAAAATATAATTTACTATATTCCACATATATGTGGATAATGTCAAGTGAACACCTGGCACCTATGAAAATATTTATCTAGGCTGGAATCAGTGCTAACAGGACTTTTCTTTTGGCATGCAGTACCCCGTCTGCTGGTAACCTTCCGCTACGTTTCGACTCCAAGAAGATTTAATACTGATTAAAATAAACACACAGTCTTAAGTCATTACCCACTTTATGGAGATAAGTGGTAAGGCTGTTGGAGACTAGGAAATCTAAGTGACATAGCTGTTGTTTAAAGAGCGCAGGGGTGGGAAATGAATATCAGCACGAGACGTGACCCCAAGAAAAAAGACGAGGGTAAAGGAGGAAGCATAAAAGTGCTTTAGAGATTATTCAGAAGTTAATTTCACTTGCTGTTGGCTAATAATCAGGTGGTTACACATTCACTGCCACTTATCTTTCGACTTAGTGGATAAGCCAGCTTAAGCTCCGTTGGTGACATGAAATGCAAAAAGCCAAATCCACATCTCAGTGATGCCCACAGAGTGTGCACAGCTAATGCCGACGCCTATGTTAATGTTTTATTTAATTTAAAGTGCCTCATATTTTCAGACATTTTCCTTCACTGTCAGTATTTGTATGTCAGAGCCTCTAAGTGAATCTCAGCTTTTTGAACATCTTGGTGTGTGATTAACTATGTGAAACCTTGACAAAGAGAGTGTGAGAAAATGAACAGACAAAGAGACAAAAACACATGTACCGTGTGTTTGTCTTTGAGCCAGGGAATGAAATATAGGGCCTGAAGTGTGTGTGACTGAGTGTGTGTGTCCTGGCACGTGTGAGGTGGTGTGTGGGCGTCGAGAGGGAAAGCTCATAAAACCCATGATCACACTGATGAGGTCACAGGGAGTGAAACCGGAGAAAGCCTTTCATTTCCTGTCTCATTCCATCCCTCTCTCTCCTACTTCCATTCATCCATCTCTCCTCTGTCTATACTTTACTTCTGTTTTTCACAAGTCATGCCAAGAGCCAAAGTCTTTCTCACCCCCACGTCTATCTGGAATTTTTCACCGTGTCACTGTAAGGTTGGAAAACAGGGATATAAGAGAGAGTTTTGCTTTTTAATCTGACTGACGTTTGTGTTGAGCCTGAACAAATGAGACAGGAAAATGTAATTCCTGCTTTTCACAAACTCCTTTCACATGTGCTGTGGTTTTTCACACATGATATGTTCACTGTATGGGCTTCAAT